GGAAGTTCCCGTAGTCTTGTATGCCCGAAAATGTTTTCAGATTGTCAACCAATGAATGGAGACAACTTTTTATAGCTTCGGAGGTGATAAAGTATCCCGAAAGTGGATTGTTTTCCGTAAATGGAAGAGAGTCAGCGAGGACACGTCAAATTTGAAGCGCGCGCCTTCGTTACGCGTGGTGCTGACTGGGACGTGACAATGAGGTCTTTGGTTTATCTAGTGTGGGGTCCGAAGTAGCTTTAAGGATCTCGCTAGGTCTAGCAATGGGTCTCAGATTAGCAGGTAGAGCACTGTCATTGACGTGCGCTGGCTCGAAACGATCAATGCCGACTACCTCAATGCGGCCTTGTCGAGCAACCTCGAAGGTCTTTTCATGACGAGAAATCACGTGAAAAGGTCCTTCGTAAGGTTGTTGCAGAGGTTCGCGTACCGAATCGACTCGAATGAAAATATATGAGCAGGTAGATAACTCTTGAGAGCGACCTGTCGATGTCACATTCCAGTTGACACCGGAAGCAGTGCTCGTATAAATTCAGACGGTCGTTGGACGTAGTCTGATTTATAGAAGTTATCACTGCTCCATGGTGTGGAAAATTTCCCAGGCAGACGCATTATCGTGTCGTATACCAATTTGGCGGCGAAACATTGAATATCTGCCTTTAAGCTCGTTCTGATGCCTAAGAGAACGAGCGGCAAGGTTTCGTACAAATTGTTGTTTTCCTGTGCTCGAAGAGCGTTTTTGAGTTGGCGATGAAACCTTTCAACTAAAACCCTTCGAAGTTGGGTGATAGGTGGTATTGCGTATGCGCTCCGTACCTAGCAGCCGAGTTAGCGAGGAGAATAGTTCGGACTCGAATTGTTGTCCTCGGTCGGTTGTTACAGTCGAGGGACAACTGTACAGAGCTATTCATCGTTCTACGAAGCTGTGAGCAACTGTTTTCGTCGTAATAGAAATGATGGGAATAGCTTCGAGCCATCTTGTAGAACGATCGATGCACGTGAGTATATGATCATACCCATGAGATGGTGGTAATGTCCTATAATGTTAATATGAACGTGATCGAAGCGAACATCAGGCGTAGCAACTGTGCTGACGGGGGAGGCTACGTGCCTGTGCGCTTTTGACCGTCGACATTGTAAGCATTGCTTTACGCACACACGGACATCTTTGTTCATGAAAGGCCAGACGTATCGTGCAGCGATGAGACGTAATGTGGCTGCGATACCTGGATGAGACAATTCATGAAGGGCATCGAAGACGAGATGACGATAAGCAGAGGTTACGATGGGTCGGGGTAGACCGGTAGAAGTATCACATAGGATAGTACCTGAGGTGGTAGTTATGGGTACTTCCTGACACAAAAAGGGAGTGGTTTGTTGTGCTTTCGAACAAGTGAGATGATTTGCTTGGGCGGCGGCCATAGCAGGAAGATCGAGCACCAGGAAAGTAACTACATTCATTTGAATACGCAACAAAGCATCGGCAACGTAGTTCGACTCGCTTTTAATATGACGAAGGTCTGTCGTGAACTGAGATATATATCTGCACTTTCGTGGTGAGTAGCCGTCAGACTTTGTATGAAGAGCATACGTTGAAGGCTTATGGTTATATTCTCATATTCCCATAATTTACTTTAATTTGAGTGGTCAGTATGAATTTTATCTTGACTTACTACTTTATTGACTACTTCAACATGACAGGTCAAGTAGTGCTTTGGTTGTATATATACACTTGCCACACTGCTGCCTTTTTCTCTCTCTCTTTTCTCCTTTTCAGAACCCCATTCACGGTGGGAAATCCTCGGAGATTCTTAGGAACATGCACCCTATGTTCATGGCTATCTGGATCACAGCTCGTATCAAGCGCGTTTCATATGACCTTTCCTAACTAATTCACTATTGATCTCGGCAAATCGCCAAAAGAACCTGTTGTGCACCTCCCATATTTGTACTCTACTATTGAAAATGTGGCTGTATTATACTGCTTCTGTCAGTGACATGGTGTAAATATGCTATCAGAAACTGACTCTTATAATTAATTGAACTGCTATAACTTTTACAGTAATTGTGAAAGCATTTGTGACAATTTGATCTAGCCTGTAAACAAGGGGTGACTCTTGTAACGTAGTTATTCAAGAATCAATATACTATTATTGTAAGTACTTTATCTTCACAAGGTAGAATACCCTCATGCTTAGTAAAGTGACCTAGTAATTTTATTTCTTCCTTGCCGAGTTCACAATTGTCTGGGTTGACTATTATTCCATTATCCGAAAGGCGTTGGAACAAGAGCGTCAAATCGACTGATTGAAATTTCTGAGTTAGTCACCAGGTGTTTCACTGGACTTGGTTCAAGGGAATGCTTAAACTGCCTCAAAGTTTTTAGTTAAGCTAAGATTGTGTTCTGAATTGACATTTAGGATGAGAAGATATCAAGTAGATCTCGTCATATCATGTGATATCGACGTGGCACAAAAAAATCAGAATCAATACGAAACTCTCTCATGCATATATTGAACCGTGCCTGCTATTTTTAACCTTGTTTCTTCCCCAACCCTGTATTATTAACAAAATGACGGACAGTTCTTTAACTTATTGATTTCTGTACTCAATTCTGAAGACTTACCTCTACATCGTTCTCAACAGTGCAACTAACTGATCTCTAGTATGGTAATTTGATGTCTGCCGGTATCCAGAAACCCTACAGACCAGAGACAAAAGCACATAGGTCATGGGACAAACAAAGTCATAAATAACTACCAAATGAATAGAATTCGTAAAGTTGTGAGCCTAGACTGCCATCCATCGGAAATCACCAGATACCTGGAACCATAGTGAATGAACAAGAAAGAAGCGCATCGGAAGAATTCTTTTATACCAGCTAAGGAAAAAGATATTGGACGCTGAAAATATTTGGCGTTATTTCAAATTGATCGGCACGTACGGTAGGTTAATCAGATTTCTCATACTGCGAAGAATCCGGACTCATTTCCACGCTCCCTGTTGTTACTTTAGTGATCCTCTTTTTATCTCTTAAGTCTTTTAAGTACCCATCATCTCCGTACTTACGTTTCCAAAACTGTTCTTGTTACAGCGTATTGACCCACAAAGAAATATCTTACAGACCCATGGTTTTTTCCAACAAGCGATTGACACACTCAACTACTTCACTCTCTATCACTAGTTTAGGTGCCGATGGAAGCCTTTCTCGATCCAACACTTTTCATTTCGCTGAGGAGAATCGCATCCCGAGCATGCGAAGTAGTCAGAAGACTGCATTTTGTCAGCGTCTTCACCAAATTGAACTATGTCATCGTCATATTCTAATTCAGCAAGCTAGTTTCTTGGTGGAAGGTCCATTTTTGAAAGTGAGACGAAGATAGTGTTATATCTAAGAGCATGTCTACGATAAAGTTGTACAAGATTGGAGAAAGTGGACATCCCTGACGGACACCACAAGCTTTCACTCGACCAGTGGTGTTCGGGCAGAGCGCTTGTATGAGGTTTATATGCTTCTATGGTTCACCTTTTAGTGACACTGCCACGGAACCGCACGATTAGCAGAGTCAAATGCCGCTTTAAGGTCAAGGAATACAACTATAATGGGATGCTGAAATGTCTCTATGTTCCAGGCCCTGGCGAAGAGTGAATATTTGGTCTATGCAGCCACATCCAGGTCTGAAACTAGCCTGGTTTTCTGGAGCCTGCTCTTCACGAGCACTAGTTAGGCGTCTAAGTATAATCGAGGCTAACAATTTATAAACTATATTAGTTAGACTTATTCCCCTGTGATTGGCGCAAGAACACTCTTGTCCTTTCTTATAAATTGGAACAATCAGGGATTGAGACCAGTTGAATGGGATTGTGTTAGTCGTTGAGATGAGAGATGTTAGGGGGTGTATGAAGGATTTGATTGTGACCAATTTGGTCTCGCGTGCTGTTACGGGTAAGAGGGCGGTTGTCACTCCCCGGCTGCCCACTACGTGGAAGGGTGTTTCTTGAGGAACCTGAAAAGGAAGATAGATTAGTGTTGGTCTGGGTACGTGACCGCAGAGCCCAGGGGACAACTGCTTGAGGCTGGTCACGCATGGCTTTTTTATGAAAGGTTTTTTGAGTATTAGCTCCGCTCCTAAAAGCCCTAACCCTTACCGACGGAGACGGAAATCCGTGAGGTAGAGCGAGGTGTGACATTTTTAGGGTCGACCTTTTCTAACCCTTCCTTCCTTGCAAGAAGGCTGCAGATGCTGGTTGTCTGAGGGAAACACCTTACTGCTGTCACACCTCTCTGCAGTCAGCAGTACGACTTCACCCTCAGACCTTGGGTAGCTGCTTTTAGTCTCATCGTTCTCCAATCGAGCTGTCTGGTATGGTAGAACCTACAGGTACAATGTCCCAGCCGATATAGCTCGGTTGGGTCATCACGATAGGCAAGCCCGACCACTACATCAAGGTAGCAGCTACGGTCTAGATCCTGTATTTTAATTTAAGAATAAAATTTTCTGAACTTATAATAAGCGTTTCTGTGAGCACTTTAGAGCTACCATTTAAATTTTGTTTTCTCTTCATATACATATCAGTATTCTTCCCTGTTATTGAATCACGTTTTAGTTAAGTACTTATTGGAAATCTGTCGTATGTTTGCTATTATTTTTTAGTGTTTCGACTGACTAAAATTGTAGTCCTAGTCAATTCAATTCAGTTTAATAAAGTTTGTCGCTATGACTCGTGCAAGTAAACGTGCTAGATATAGTCCAGAAAATGAGAACAGTAGTAGTGTGTTGGAAAACGCCAAGAAAGATGATACATCGAAAAATCCGGATAAATTTGCCAACATATTTGGTAAAACTGGTGGTGCGTACATTCCCCCTGGTCGTCTTCGTCAAATGCAAGCTCAGATAACTGACAAATCATCTGAAGCCTATCAAAGAATTGCTTGGGAAGCATTGAAAAAATCTATCCATGGTTTTATCAATAAAGTGAATGTTTCTAACTTGTCCGAAGTTGTCAAACAACTACTTATGGAAAATATTGTTAGAGGTAGAGGTTTATTCGTCAGATCCCTTTTAACCGCTCAATCGGCATCGCCAACATTCACCCATGTTTTCTCCGCTCTTGTTGCCGTTGTAAATTCGAAGTTTCCCAAGGTAAACAAAATTTTATCAGTTAATGACATTGTAGATGTGAAATATTAATTCAGTAATAATTTATCTTTAGGCTTGTAATACGAAAACCTTGATCAACACACACTTGTATCTTGCTCTATGTAGACGATAACCTCTAATGCCCTAACCAGGCCGTTTTATTTTGAAAGGGATAGTGTGTACCATAAAGTAGTCAAAGATTCTATGAATCTTGACTTAAGGTTTTGATATTACTGTCATCTATGGTTTACTACACTATTCATCAATCCGACACCAACTGCCGTTGCAACTCATCTAGTTTGTGTCAAGTTTCTGTCTAACTGATGTATATATAGTCAGTATAAAATGGCCTTATGTGGTAGTATACGTTGTTACTAACAAACCATAAAAACTTACATTACAACTGTATTTTTTATGGAATACAAATAAATTAGCACTTGGTTAACAGAGTATAGGCCTTGCTATATGACTAAAAACAAACTAGCCTATGAAGTGGATGTGTAACCGGTTATCTTTGCTTTGTGCGAATTCATTGCAAATAGTTTTTTATTTAAATAATAATAATAATTTTATCATCCATATATGTTAATATGAAGTTTGCAGTGCATGAAATACTAAGTTTTATTTGTCTAAGTGTTGTATTCATTCAATTTTCATCGAGATCTTAACTCTCCTTATTCACGAAATCTACTTGTGCGTTGAATAATATGTGGTGACATCAGTTAACAGTCAGTCATATACAGGGTAGAGTCTAGCACTTATGTCCATTGGTTCGATTTTCTATGTCACTTTACCACAGAGTAGTATAAACAGTACAAGCATTAGTAGTAATATCAAAAATCGAACATATAAAAAATGACTTGTGAAGGGAATATGGAATAAAAAAACTTATGAAATAATCAAAAACTTAAAATCTAAATGATGACAACGAGTAAATCCGCTCATCCCATCGAGACCTATAGTCACTAACCATTAGTTACGATAGTTGTGCATACCCTAATCAGGTAGTCTGTATCTATCTATACAGCTTAGTTCAACCACCAATGACGAAATGGACTAACGTCACATCTTGGTTTGGTTGTTCCTAGTTCTATTCCAACCTACTACTGCACCAGCAATCATCACGCGTTGCTGCTGAAAGTAGTTGTGTATACGTAATATATGTTGCAATCACAGCAGGTGGAAATTTAAAACTTCAACAACCGGTTTTTCATCCTTACTTAGTACTTCCGCATCTAGGGTCAGCATTGTTGACTTAATGTCAGCATACACAAGTAACGCTTCGAAGGTATCTGTGATCGAATACTATCAGCCTACTTGTGTCCTCCATTATTAGAAGTCACGTTTCCCAGCCATAAGTTAAATCGGAAAACAACTACCCAATACACTCGTATTTTAGTTAAAAGATAAACATCTCATCTATACTTCAAGTAGCTCAAGTTTACAAAAGCCAATCAAACTTTCTGAATCCCTTCCAAGATCTTGTCACATCAACCACCGAGACTGACGTGAATCTGAAACAGACAAAGTGCTCAACATACTCAACCACTTCACTCCCCATGATCAGATAGGCAGACGAGCCTTGAAGCAAACATTTTCATTCAATGGGAATGATACATCCTAAGTATACTCAAATTACTAGAAAATTCTACGTTACGTCAGCGTCTATGGGATAAAAATTCATCTAAAATAAGCCGTATTGGGCTTTTAGTCACCGTCGTCGCACAAACGGGATTCACCTAAAAATAATATACCGAAATTAGGTAAAAGATTTATTTCATAGCATACCTAATTGTTCTTAAAAATTGAAGACAGATCTCGGGCACTAAAAATGCGTGTTCGGACACATTGGCGATAGTTCATTCGGTGTCACCATCTTTAAACACCAACTTCAGTGCCTTAGATATGTACTACGAATGAATATTTATATATATCCCTTAGAAGCTGAGACTATTTCTTGACCAGTGATATGTATTTGTCCATTAGGGTATTTTCTGATGGTCATCAAATGACCGCATTCGGCCTTTTCTGATTGTCTCACTAGAGATGCACCTTGAAGTATCTAATAAAGAAATTGAATTATTGGTGGTCTTGGTGACGCGTAAGCGTGATTACAGATACCGAAGAATAGACAGACAGACAGATACAACGCAGAACTTCGTACGTAAGTACATCAGTTCAGGTTGCCATGCCCCATCAGCACAGAGACGCAACTGTCAGTTCAAACCCATGAGTGATAGCGATAGTAGAAGTATTAGCAGTAATGGAGAAGATTAGGGAGCGAAGATATGATTCGAGAAGTATAATTCAGTGAGATAAATTTAGAAGGAGAAAGATAGAGATTATGGAAGAATTCAGAAGGTTAGAATTTTATCGAACACAAAGAGTGGATGCACATGCGTCATTGCAAACGATTCTGAGCCATGTCGTTCAAGGTCTCTAACCATTGGCGACTTTCGTCTCGCGGACCCCAACCAGGTAGCCTACATCTACCAACATGACTCAGTCCACTTGTCAGTGACTTCATGGATTTCTGCCATGTTTTGATTTGGCCGCCCCCAAAGAATACCTGCTTGAGGTCAGTCATATGGCTTTTAAACGAGGGGTTCTTGTTATCAGCTGTCTACTTTGAAAACTTCAACGCCGGCAGTGGAAGTTTTTGCGGCAAGATAAGGTGTGTTTTTCCAGGGCTTGACTTTTTCTAGCTTCCTATTTCCATCTTTGGAAGACACCATTATTGCGAATATTGGTTTTCTGTGGGGAACATCTTACTGCTCTCATATGTCGGAACAAACGTTGCACAATTTCGCCTTCAAACCTTGCTGCTTTTAATTTAATTGTCCTCTAAACGATCTATCTGGTATGGTAGGACTTAAAGGAACATATATTTCAGCCAATATAGTTCAACTGGGTCGTTACGACAGTCAAGTTTGTCCATAACGTCAAGCTCGCAGCTGGGTCCGGCCGTTTTAGTATAGCGGAGATTCAATTAAGAAAATGGAAAATTATTTAGACTAGCTGATTGTTTTTTTGAGATTCAGCTATTTCGAAGAAAGTTTACCATGAAATAATCTTAGTTGAAGATCTGTAAAATACCACAGAAACCACTGGATGATTGCTGACAATAATATATAAAAGTATAGTTTAATTTTGGCGCATTGTATAAATATACCGTAATAATAATAATAATAATAATAATTCTTATTACTGTCATACAAATATAGTATTATCTATCATCTTTTTATTGTCGTCTTGTTTATATCAGGTTGGAGAACTAGTTCTTAAACGATTAATCAATGAATTTCGTAAAGCATTTCGACGTAATCAGAAAGATCGATGTTTGTCTACAGCACGATTCCTAGCACATTTAGTCAATCAAAAAGTTGTTCATGAATTAATAATTTTGGAACTATTAACATTACTGCTGGAACAAACAACCGATGACAGTGTAGAAGTGGCAGTATCTGTTCTTAAAGAATGTGGTGCTATGTTGTCACGTCTTGTACCAAAAGGTGTACATGGAATCTTTGAACATCTTCGACGCATTTTAAATGAAGGTCAATGCGATAAACGTATTTCTTATATGTTAGAAGTTATGTTTCAGGTAAGATTTTTGACACATTATTTTTCATTATTATCGCAATTTTCATTGTTTTAGTTAGTAAAAAGAACCATTATAAATTTCGTATCGAATTATGTTATTTTTAAGGGTTATTCGGATTTTCTATCGTTGCCAATGTGTTAAGGACTGTAATTGGTCAGTCTGTTTTGGCATCCTAAGCGGATAGCCTCGAATTTGTAATATTTTGGAAAAATAACTTAACATTAAAGTATGACTGGATTCGAGTAGATAGTCGCTTGTTCGCTATCCGACTAAACGGTACAGTAAGGACTCAGAAAGATAGGGACACTCGTTGTTGCCTATTCATTGTCTCTGCCTACGCTACCACAGATTGAAGTTCAGATGAGGTAAAAGATAAATTTGACAGAAAGCTTTTTAACCTTCTTAAGAAAGCTAAGCACTCTAATTTAATAGTATTATTTTTCTGTGGCTTATTGGACTTAAGAATGGCACAGCATGGAAACCTCTTAGAGTTCTACATAACAATAAAAAAGCCAAGGTATTTTGAGAGCAACTAGAAAAAATGTTAGGCAGACATGTAAATGATGCCCACTCCGAGGCAGCACAGGACGATATCCTAAAGTCTGTAGAAATGTCAGTGATATCTGTCAGTAAGGTAAACAACAAGGTTAGGGAGATAGAGTGTATTTCAGTAGCATCTATTGAACTGATAGATGATCGGGAACTCATCCCATCTTACTCTGAACATGATGAGGAGCGGAGTCAACTTGAGCACAGGCTGATAAGAAACCTTTCACAATAATCGCGAACAATAGTGGGTATCGAAAGCAAGGAATTGAAAAGCAGCAGTAATAGGCAACAGTAAACTGTTCAAACTTATCAGGAAAACTGTCACGGTTACTGAATGATCTCAAAATTCAAGTCTTAGAAAATGCTTAAGCCTAACATCAGTTACTGAATCATAATAAGTAGTATAGCGTAATACACAAAAATAATGGGCGTGTTAAGTTTCGATGCGTTACAAAATTGATTTGAGAATATACACTCTGGCTTCTTGACTGATAAGTCAGTTAATTGGTTCAGCCAACATTTCTGTATACATTTTCTATACTTTTTTGAATACTGTTAGCTTATAACAGACGGTTTATAATAATTATAAATGACGTCATCAACTGTCTAAAACTTGATGCTAATTTTATTTTGAAAGTATAAATTAATTCATTGGTATTGGTTGTTTGAATCTTCCCTTTTCGATGCTTTTTAGACTGTCATTGAGTAGTCTCGTTGCCATGTGCGCATCCTGTATGAATTACCTCGATAAATTAATTTCTGAAATTAAGTTTTTTCTAAGAAAAAAAAATGCCCTGTCAAACAAATAAACTTTTCACTGATTTAAAAAAAATGTCTTATTAAATATTTGTATTTTTCTATTACAGATTCGTCGTGATGGATGGAAAGATCATCCGATTGTCTTGCCAGAACTTGATTTAATTCAAGAAACTGATCAAATCACTCATACAACTTCACTTCTTGATCAAGTAGATCCAGAGGAACACTTGAATGTGTTTAAATTCGATCCAGAGTTTTTAGCAAATGAAGCAAAATATGCTGAAATTAGACAAGCATTATTTGAATCAAACGATGATTCAGAAGCTGAGTCGGATGGTGAAAATGGAGATGATGATTCCGATGAATCAGGTGATGATGACGATGATGATAATGAAGAAGATGAAGAGTGTAAACGTGGTGCTGCTGCAACTGCAGAGAATCAACAAACAATTATTGATCAAACAGAAACAAATCTAGTCCATTTACGTCGTACCATCTATCTAATGCTACAAAGTAGTTTAAGCGCAGATGAAGCTGGACACCGTCTACTACAATTGAAAATTAAACCAGGAGAAGAATATGAAGTAGCTTCGATGGTTTTAGATTGTTGTGCACAAACACGTAGTTATGAAAGTCGTTATGGTCGATTAGCTCAAAGACTTTGTCGAGTTGTTTTTCCATCTAGTGCACCAGCCAGTACAGGATCTACTACTGTTTCTGCAAGCTCGGAACTAGGTCCCGGTAGTAGATATAGAAGTAATAAAGAGGTTGGTAAACCTACAACGAAGGAAGAAACTCCTGCACCGGTTGTAGAAGAAGCAGGTCCACCTCGTAGTTATGTTGCTCAATTTGAAAAAATTTTCGCTGAACAATACTCAATTATTCATAGATTAGAAACGGCAAAATTACGTAATGTCGCTTTCTTGTTTGCTCATCTTTTATACTCGGATTCCATATCATGGGGTGTATTTGAGTGTATACGCTTGAATGAACGTGATACAACTTCGTCTGGGCGTATATTTTTAAAACATCTTTTTTTGGAACTTTGTTCATTTATGGGCTTATCAAAATTACAAGCAAGACTTCGAGATGAAACACTTCAACCATTTTTTGCTGGTCTTCTACCACGTGATAATCCTAAAGATACACGATTTGCTATTAATTTTCTAACTACAATTGGTTTAGGCGGTTTAACTCTGGACCTTCGTGAACATTTGCAAGCATCACGTGATTCAGCATTGGCAAAGAAAGAGTCTGAATCTAAAAATAAACTACAATCATCCATCTTGAACGATGTATCCATTTCATCTTCATCGTCTTCTTCTTCTTCAAGTTCATCGTCTAGTAGTAGTAGTAGTGGTAGCAGCAGCAGCAGTGAACCAGAATCGAATTATTCAAATGATGAAAGACATCGAAAAAAGAAAAAACATTCAAAAGATAAGCATAAATTACAAAAGAAGTCACGTGATAATCATCATCGTCATTCCGAACACAACCAGCATCAGAAATCGCATAATACTTCATCGAAACACTCTGAAAAGTCGTCGGACAGAACTTCTAAACATTCTGATTCAACGCGTAAACATGATAAAAGGTCTCATTTGAAAACTCGTCCTGTAGACACTCCATTTTTCAATGATACACCTAATTCACCTGCCCATTCACGTCAAATGAAAATGAAAGTGAAATAACTATGCCCTTTGGTGGGGCTTTTTTGTACAAAAAATTTGTATAATTATTTATCAAGATATTTTATTTAATCTCTTTTTGTCTTTTTCGCTGTATCCAGAAAAAGCAGTCGTCGCTTTTTCAATGGGATTTATCTCTTAGATTATTGGCTTGGCTCGCTACCTGAACTAGTGATACGGAGTGAAGTAGTTAAGTGTGTTGACCGCTTCACTTATCTTCGAAGTCTCATCAGTTCTGATGGCCTGGTTTGTGACGAAATCTCAGCACGGGTATAGAAGGCTCATCTGGCTTTTGTCTACTTGTGTCACTTATGGCGTAGGTGAAATATCCGTCTACCAACTAAAGGACAAGTTTACTGCACAGCAGTTCACTCCGTCCTGCTTTACGAGTGTGAAATATAGTCAGTAATAACCGAAGATATTCGTTACTAATCACCCTAACCCTACTAAGGTGAGTGTAGTGTATGTTCCGTATAACTAACCACTGACTGCCTGTTCTGTGGTGTAGATGTAGATTGGAAGAAAGCTAGGGGCGGCCAAACCAAAACATGGCATAGATCCATGAAGTAAGTGAGAGCTGAACTGAGCCGTGTTGGTAGTTGTAGACAATGTGGTTGGGATCTGCCACACAATCGTAACCGGTGGTTAGAGACTTTGAATGACATGGCTCAAAGTCGTTTGCAATGGCACAGGTGCATCCACTCTGTATGTTCTCTCAAATTCTAATCTGGCGAATTCCTCAAGACCTTTTTTCTCTTTTTAAATTCGTTTCACTAGATTATACTTTTCGAATCATATCTTCCAAGTACTTTTGACTACCCCTAACGCTACTACTACCTCTACTTCTGTGTAGTTTGAACTGACAATTAGATCTCTGTGCTGATTGTGGTATGGCAACTTGAACTGATGTAGGTTCATACAAAGTTCTACCTCGTTTCTGACTAACTGATTGCGACTGACTTCAGAAACATTTATTTCGCTCTGTGACCCTTAGAGATTCGCAGAAGCCTATCATTTAGAGATTCCAAACAAGAACGTGAAAGCTATTCAAACGAGCATGGTTTTGATCCGTTCTAATACGTTTTAAAATATTAAAACCCCTTGATTATTTTTATAAAATTATTTCTCTTGTCTCATCTTCGTTAATTGTGATAAACTTATTTTTACTTAGACTCATCAGAAAAGTATAAGTGTAGACATGGAAGTCCAAAGTCAGATTATATATGTAGAAAAGACTATCAACTACACCGATATAATGAAAAGTAACATATACAGGCATCTATATTGCCTTGTATAACTTAATTACGTAAGCCGGTTACCAAACGTAAAAGCATAGACCGCCAATCAACACTATCCTCGGCTTTCTTATCCAGTCTGACCCTTTCGATGTCTGCCTTTAATACCCTCTGCTACGTATTCCTTCTCTTCCTTATGACTTAAGAAATCCAAGTCACAGCTTGTGGCGCATTTTAGCGATTTCCATAACGTGTATACTATCCATCTCCAGTGCTTTTTCCTGAGTTCTTGTTCAGCCACAATATGATTTCTTATCTCCCACAACGGGTTGTTGCTGATGATGTCCAAAGTATTTTGCGTAGACAATAGTTAATAAATAGTCATATCTTCTGAATACTGGTTCTCATAATTCCCCACTCCATAAAATAGAACTGTTTCGATGTTTGTATGGCAAATTCTGACTCCAGGATCGCTGGATCACAGATTTTTTTCGGTTGTAGTATTACTCAGTCAACAGCATCGTAGAACTTCGTACGTAAGTACATCAGTTCAAGTTGACATACCACATTAGCACAGACATGCAATTGTCGATTCAAATCCCATAGTAGTAAAGGTAGTGAAAGTATTAGCAGTAATCGGAAAGATTAGGGTTCGAAGATATTATTCAAGAATTAGAATCTAGTGTAATAAACCTAAAAAGATAAAGGTGATGAGGAATTCAGAGATTAGGGCTTGAGAGAACACAAATAATGAATGCACTTGTGTCATCGCAAACGTTTTTCAGCCATGTCACTCAGGGTCTCTAACCATCGATTACCATCATCTCGCTAGCCCCAACCAGGTAATGGACACTTACCAACATGACTTAATCCACTTGTCAGTGACTTCATGGATTTGTGCCGTTTTTTACGTTTGGCCGCCCCTAACTTTCGTCCAACCTATTCCTACAGTGCAAAATATAGCTCGACGAGTCAGTTGGTGGTTAGGCATACGCAGTACATGTCCAAACCACCTCAGCTGATGAAGTCCCACTACTTCATTTATTGATCTGCCATCCTTATCTAGTACGTGTCTCCTAACCACAGCATTGCTTACTCGATTGTTTCAGGACACACGAGCTATGCTTCGGAGACACCTGTGATCGAAAATTAGTAACCTACGAATATCTTCTACTCTCACTGGTCATGTTTCACATCCATAAAGTGGGACGGAGCGAACTACTGCTCAGTACAGTCGTCATTAAGTCAGCAAACGGATATCTGGTCTGCGCCATAAGTGACGCAGGTTGGCAAAAGCCAATCGAGCCTTCTATATCCGTGCTGAGATTTCGTCAGTCACCAGGCCATCAGCACTGATGAGACTCCCCAGATAAGTAAAGCAGTCATCACGCTCAACCGCTTTACTCCCTATCACTAGTTCAAGTCCCGACATTTTACATTTCGAGGAGGAAAACCGCATACCGAATATGCTTGCATGGTTGCTTAAGGTGGTCAGAAGACTGCATTTTGTCAGCTTCCTCACCAAATAGAACTATGTCTTCGGCATATTCTAAGTCAATAAGCGAGCCTCCTGGTAAAAGGTCTACTCCTGAAAATTCAGACGAAGATAATGTTATATCTAGCAGCATGTCTATGACAAAATTAAACGAGAATGGGGAAAGTGGACATCCCTGACGGACACCACTTGAAGTAATGAATTCCGATAACAGTTCGACTTATGGCTTTAACTCGAACAGTAGTGTCGTCGAATGCCTCTTTAAGGTAAAGGAATACAACTATTATCGGATGAATAAATTTGTGTGTATTCCAGGACCTGATGTAGTGTGAATATTTGGTCTACGCATCCGAGCCCGGGTCTGAAACCAGCCTGGTTTTCTCGAGTCTGCTTTTCACGAGCTCCAATTAGACACCTAAGTATTATTGAAGCTAACAATTTAAAAACTATATTAGTTAGACTGATTCCTTTGTGATGTCACAAGAGGATTTTTATCCTGTTTTATTAATTGAGAGAATCAGGGATTGAGACCAGTCAGAGATGGGATTACGCCTAGTTCCCAAATTCTACATAAGATCTCGGTCAATATAACTGCAGAACTGGACCAGCATCCTTAAAAATCTCAGGAGTCAATCTATCAGGACCCGCTGCTTTCCCTCGCTTCAGATTTCCTATAGCTTTCTCAACTTCATTAAGAGTCGGAGGACTTACATTGACTTCCCATTCAGGTTGACTGGAAATCATGGGCAACCGAAGTGTGGCAGAAGGCCAGTTGAACTGATCCCTGAAGTGTTATGTCCATCGATCCAATCTCCTGGTTTGAGAATGGATAACAAGCCCATCCTTTTCCGAGATAGTTTCGTTAACAGATGGATCCCTAGGCCAGTTTCCTTGATAAGTGGGAACATTTGTCTACTGTTACCTATCGCATAAGCGACTGTCTACCGGGATCTAAACTAAGAGAGCTAGTTCTTCCCTAGAACCTAATACTATACCTACACCGGCGAAACTACGGGAAGCAGCATCAGGTCCACCTGGAACGCGAAGCGTAAACCGTGCTGTGTCTCTATCCGCGCTAGGTAAAATCAAATTTGTGATTTTACTCAGGTCTCATATGCGCGTTTCGGAGACGCAACATACATAAGTCGTCCGGGATGCCAGAGTTCTAGCTAATGAAGCCTGTTGCCCTATTTGGCACAGGGTACCAACATTAAACGCTCCAATATGTAATTTGGTACGGAGTTTCAGGAGACCAGGAATAAAGTTTCGTGAGCTAAAACCGTTTGCTTCAGTGATGCGAGATGATAAACGATCGGAAGAAGGGTTGGTCGAGGAGATAAGAGAGTTGATAGGATGTGTAGAAAGGATTTGATTGTGTTTGATTTGGTCGCGTGTGCTTTTATGGATACGAGGGCGGAGGTTACTTCTCGGCTGCCCACACCGTGAAAGGTCATGACTTCCGAAGAAACTCGGCTATCGTCATGAGACGTCATAACTCTTCTAAATGAAAACCTGACTCCCAGAGCAGAGTTTATATAATTTGAATTATTTTTTCTTGTTAACGTTTTTTTAGCGAGTTGGTTTTTTATGGGATGTGGTCGCCAACCCTTATTCAAACCCTCCTCATTTATCCGGGCTTGGGACCAGCAGTAGCCCCGAGGGGTCTACAGGCGGAGTGTAGAAGTTCTGCCTTTGGTTTGCTAACCCGTGTCTTCACATCTGTATCAGATCCCCTGAGATGATATGTTGACATCTTCACAATCCAGGCAGGCACCACAAGAAAGAGGAGGAGTGAGAGTAAGCAACCTTGTCTGACAACGGTCATCACTTGGAATGTATCTGTGAGGTGTCCTCTATGCACAACTGTTCATTGTAGTGCATCGTAAGAATTCCTATGATGCTGATAATCTTCTTGTACACACCATAGTGTCATGCTGTCCACACTGTTGAATGCTTCCTTGTAGTCAAGGAATTTGATATAGAATGATGAATCTCATTCGATTGATTGTTTCACAACGATCCGTAATGTCGCGATAGAACTGGAGAGGAGGGCGCTGGACAGAATTGGTTGTAGGATTTCGGTCGGTGGTCTATGCTCCATTAGAGTTGATAGGAGTAAGTAAGTGACCACAACCTATGTTTCTGTCTGGTTTTTGTCCTGACGATTGAACTACACAGAATCAACGTGAACAGTAGTACTCCGACAAGTGTTGAGACGGTTGTGTTTAAATGCATTTCCTACCGTTTCATTTTGACATTCATTCAATCAGAAAGTTGTTGCTCCTTCGAATATGTATAATAACAATATATTCAAAATATAAATCTAATGTTATGTTATTGTAACCT